TTATCATGCGGTGTGTATATGGTCACAGGATTATCTAAAACAAAATCAGTGGCTTTGTCCAGGAGGGCAGTAACAGCCACCACTGCCCTAACACATGAGGGGGCACCCCTGGAAACAGGGTCCAATCTGGTGGAGTAGTATGCTATTGGTCTTTGTTTACCACCATGATCCTGTGTAAGGACAGATGTAGCATAACCTGATTGCTCAGTACAGAACAGGTTAAAATTCTTTCTGTAATCTGGGAGACCCAGTGCCGGAGCTGACGTTACCAGTACCTTAAGTGTATAGAAGGCATTTTCTGCCGCATGGGTTAATTTAAATGGTTTGTTTTCGTTGGCAAGACAATCATACAGTGGTTGCATGTAGATAGCTACGGAACGCAGCCAAGGGCGGCTGTAAGAAATCAAACCGAGGAAAGTACGAACCTGGGCTAAACTGCGGGGGGGTCTAATATTTTGAACTGCAGTTTTTCTACTTTCTGTGAGATGTTTTATGCCCTGGGAAATGCAATGTCCTAGGAAAATAACTTTCTCTACACATGCTTGCAGTTTTGTTTTTGTCGCTTTACAGCCTGCTTTTTCTAGGAATTTTAGCAAGGAAAGAGTGTTTACAATACAAGATTCCATATTATCGCAACATAGGAGTAGGTCATCAATATACTGCAATAAAATTACGTTATTTGGCCTTTGCCACTCTTCAAGAATCTGGGCCATAGCCATGCTGTACATAGTGGGTGAGTTTTGTGCGCCCTGTGGCAATACTGTCCAAGTGTACTGCTTGTGTTTATGTGTAAATGCAAATAAAAACTGACTGTCGGGAGCCAGGGGGACACTGAAAAATGCATTTGCCAAGTCAATAACAGTAAATACCTTATAGGAAGGTGGTATTTGTGCCAACAAGGTGTGTGGGTTGGGAACATTAGGGGCAATGAGTTCAGTTACAGCATTAATTGCCCTCAAATCATGTACCATACGGTAGACCACAGGTTTCCCTTTCTCTTGCTTTTTCTTAATTGGGTACAATCGTGTGTTACAAGGGGAGGTGGTCTGGACAACTACCCCTGCCTGCAGAAACTCTTGCACAGATTGCGAAATAGCATCTTCCTGTGCTGGGCTTCTATGGCGTTTTCAGTACTGAGGAGAGGGTTGAGGCAAAAGGAGGTTAAATTAAAAGCCTTTGCTATCTGCAATTATATATGTCCCTGCTATGCATTATTATCTTCTGGTCTCAAGTCAGAGTAGCATATCTGAACAGAGCATACAATGGTAAAGGATAAGAACAGCTTCATGTTGGTGGATCAGTCGGAGTGACTTGTTTACCGTGACTGGCGTGTATCCACGTGGCTTTTCCTACTAGTTTCACTGAGGTAGCCATAGTCAAGAGCACTTGGAATGGACCGTCAAAGCGTGGTTCAAGTCCTTTCCTCACATGCCTCTTTATCACCACCCAATCACTAGGTTGCAGTTTGTGAGTTGCAGAATCAGTCTGGATCTGGAATAGAATCAAAGACTTGTTTATGCACCCTGCCTAATCTTTGGTGTAGGGCCTGAACATAGGCAGCCATACTACCATGCTGCATCTGGAGGGTTTGGGGAAAATAGAGGCCTGTCTTTGGGGCACATCCAAACAGGATCTCAAAAGGGGATAAGCCATGTCTGGAATTGGGGGTGAATCTCATAGAAAAGAGTGCTAGGGGAAGGCATTCAGTCCAGGACTTCCCTGTGTCTTGCATGGCTTTTGCAATCTTGTTCTTTAAGGTGCCATTTGCCCTTTCTACTTTCCCACTACTCTGGGGGTGATAGGGGGTGTGGAAGGCCTGACTGATCCCTAGGGCTTTCATAATTTCTTGCATTATTTCCCCAGTGAAATGGCTATCTCTGTCACTTTCAATCACTTCAGGTACTCCATATCTTCATACCAGTTCCTTCAGAAGCTTACTTGCTGTGACCTTCGTTGTGGCTTTCGACACTGGGTAGGCCTCAGGCCAACCTAAAAAGAGATCAATGCACACCAACACATATTCATACACTCCTACCTTAGGTAGTTGAATATAGTCTATCTGCAGTCTTTGAAACGGGTAAAGTGGCCTTGGTGTGTGCTTACTTGGTGTTTTCACAGCTTGTCCTGGATTGTTTCTAGCACAAATCATGCAAGCTTGGGTGTGTTTAGCTGCTACAACAGTAAATCCGGGTGCTACCCAATGGGTGTTTACTATGCTGTTCATGTGCATCTTGGATAGATGTGTAGGTCCATGGGCAATCTGGGCCATCATGGGGTACAACACTCGTGGTAAACACAGTCTTTTACCTTTCCTCCACATTCTGTCATCATCAGGTTCTGCATCTTGTTTCCTCCAGAGGTCATGTTCTTCCTTGCTTGCCTGTCTTTGTAAGCTCAACAGTATATTGTAGTCAACGGCATCATCTGTAAGAACAACTTGTAGAAAGGTATTACCTGTAGAGGGATGAACTTTGATTGCTGCTTGCTTGGCAGCTTCGTCTGCTTTGTGGTTTCCTCTTGAGATCTCATCTGTGATCTTCACGTGAGCTGCCACCTTGATGATGCCTACTTGAGTGGGTAGCAGGATAGCATCCATAAGTGCACTCACGGCTTCAGAATTCTTGATTGGAGTTCCTGCTGAGGTGAGAAAATCACGAGCCCGCCATATAGGGCCAAAATCATGGGCTATACCAAAAGCCTAGCGAGAGTCTGTATAAATATTAGCAGTCTTACCAGAAGCCATTTTACACGCTTCAGCGAGTGCCTTCAGCTCTGCCTCCTGTGCAGAGCAGTGAGGAGCGAGTGGTTCAGCTTTTATTACCTCATGTGCAGAGACTACAGCATATCCAGTGTGGAAATTACCCTTCTCATCAGCATATCTGGAACCATCTACAAAAAACTCAAAATCTGCATTAGATAATGGAGAATCAAATACATGCAAAAAACCTGCTGTCTCTTGTGCCATTAGTGCTGCACAATCATGGGGTACCTGGGCATCAGCTAACTCATCTGGTGAAAGTGAATTTACAAAAAGATCAGAAGTACAAGTACCATTCACACTATCCCCACTCCCCTCTTTTAAATCCAGGGGAAGTAATGTAGATGGATTTAACACCATACACCTTTTAAGAGTAACATTAGGTGGCATAAGCAAGGCACATTGCATTCTGAGATGCCTTGCAGTATGTATGTGTTTTGGTTGAACTTGTGAGAGTATGCTGTTGTTATCATGCGGTGTGTATATGGTCACAGGATTATCTAAAACAAAATCAGTGGCTTTGTCCAGGAGGGCAGTAACAGCCACCACTGCCCTAACACATGAGGGGGCACCCCTGGAAACAGGGTCCAATCTGGTGGAGTAGTATGCTATTGGTCTTTGTTTACCACCATGATCCTGTGTAAGGACAGATGTAGCATAACCTGATTGCTCAGTACAGAACAGGTTAAAATTCTTTCTGTAATCTGGGAGACCCAGTGCCGGAGCTGACGTTACCAGTACTTAAGTGTATAGAAGGCATTTTCTGCCGCATGGGTTAATTTAAATGGTTTGTTTTCGTTGGCAAGACAATCATACAGTGGTTGCATGTAGATAGCTACGGAACGCAGCCAAGGACGGCTGTAAGAAATCAAACCGAGGAAAGTACGAACCTGGGCTAAACTGCGGGGGGGTCTAATATTTTGAACTGCAGGTTTTCTACTTTCCGTGAGATGTTTTATGCCCTGGGAAATGCAATGTCCTAGGAAAATAACTTTCTCTACACATGCTTGCAGTTTCGTTTTTGTCGCTTTACAGCCTGCTTTTTCTAGGAATTTTAGCAAGGAAAGAGTGTTTACAATACAAGATTCCATATTATCGCAACATAGGAGTAGGTCATCAATATACTGCAATAAAATTACGTTATTTGGCCTTTGCCACTCTTCAAGAATCTGGGCCATAGCCATGCTGTACATAGTGGGTGAGTTTTGTGCGCCCTGTGGCAATACTGTCCAAGTGTACTGCTTGTGTTTATGTGTAAATGCAAATAAAAACTGACTGTCGGGAGCCAGGGGGACACTGAAAAATGCATTTGCCAAGTCAATAACAGTAAATACCTTAGAGGAAGGTGGTATTTGTGCCAACAAGGTGTGTGGGTTGGGAACATTAGGGGCAATGAGTTCAGTTACAGCATTAATTGCCCTCAAATCATGTACCATACGGTAGACCACAGGTTTCCCTTTCTCTTGCTTTTTCTTAATTGGGTACAATGGTGTGTTACAAGGGGAGGTGGTCTGGACAACTACCCCTGCCTGCAGAAACTCTTGCACAGATTGCGAAATAGCATCTTCCTGTGCTGGGCTTAGGGGGTATTGTTTTTGATAGGGAGGTTTGGCTCCGGGCAGGAGATTCACTTTGACTGGGGGCACAGAGAGTCTGCCTGTATCTGTCTTCCCTGTAGCCCATAAGGAATCAGGGACTGAGGACAAGTCAATGGTAGGTTCTGGCACATGGCTGGGCATAGTGAGAGTTGCCAGAACATTTGAAAGAGATATCATTTGTTTGTCCTCTAAAGGCACAGACAATGTTACTTTTCCAGTGGGGCTATACTGGATAGTTTCACTAAGAGCAGACAGTATATCACTGCCTAGTAGATTAGCAGGGGCATGAGGGCTGACAAGTAGCCTTGTTACAAGGGCAGTAGAGTCGTGTAGCTTCAATTTCAACTTGTGGGTAAGGGGAATGTCATTTTCGATACCATCTACCCCTACACATGATAATACATCATTAGATTTCTCATACGGGAATACATATTTTTCCTGTAACATTGATTTAGCAGCGCCAGTGTCTAACAGGAAAGGGACTATTCGGTCCCCAGGCAGTGTAACATTGATAATGGGTGAGGGTCCTGCAGAGTCAGGGATATTGATGATATGTAGGGACACTGGTTTGCCAATTTCCTATTGGGGGGGGGGGGAGGTGGTGGTGGTGGTTGGCTGTCATGGGAGTTATCATTAGAATCTTGGGGTTTTCTATTTTTAGGAGGACACTTGCAGTTACGTTTAATGTGTCCTTTCCTGCCACAATTCCAGCAGTCTACCTGCCTTCTGTCCCCACCAGCTCTAGGGACAGTTACAGCCATAAGAGGTGTGCTCCTCTTTCTAGTATTTAGATTAGCTTCCACTCCCCTAGCCACCTTCACCAGATCACCATAGGTTAAACTTCTCCACTCAGGTCTAGCATTTTGGAGACCAGTCCTTATGGGTATGTGGATACCATCCATAAAGCAGTTAATAAGCAGTCTGGTGGATGTGGTTACAACATCAGTGTAACCCAATGCCTCCCAAGCCATTTGTAGTCTGGTAAAGAATGTTTCTACAGATTCATCTTTCCCTTGTAGTATGTCTCCTAATGTATGGGCTAGTTCTTCTGTCTTTACCTTAGCCCATTCTCTCATTGCAGTGACATAGCATGCTCCAGATGCAGACTTGGTTCTAAACCATTCATCTGTTTGCATGTTGCTTTTTCTGAGGTTATCTTCATGGGCATCTGTATATTTAGCAATTATTCTAGCCAAAATGGGACCAGCTTTTAGTGCCACAATCTGTTTTAAATCCATCCAAGTACACTGGTAAGTAGCTTGAATTGTGGATAGAGACTGGACTAGAGCTAAGGGGGCCTTTTCAACATCTGGCAGCTGCTGTATTATTGCCAGTTGTTCACTGGGTGTCCAGGGCTTATATTCTTCCCAGTATTGGATACCTGAGCTCGGCTGTCTGTGCTCATGGTATACACTCTCAACTTTGGGTATCATGGGAGTAGAAAATTGTGGAGCTAATGGCCCCACTGGGGTATCTGTGGGGGCAACTAGGGGTTCCTTTAAGTCTGGACTACCTTCCTGCTCTAATGAACCCATAGGTCTTACTGGGACACCATATGAAGTCCCACTGCGTAATATTACTGGAAAGAGAGGTTTTGATCTCTGTAAAAGGGAAATCGCCTTGTCTTTTGGGACCAAAGGAGTCCCTGCAGTATCCTGGTAAAAGGGTGGGTTTACAAGATTTTTCCCAGGATCTTGCCTACTCTGGGACCCTAGAGGTCCAAAACATTGATAATATGGTACACCTTTCCTGGTGGTTTCTCTACAACCACATTTAGTTAATTCAACAGCAGTATCATGCCATATTTGTGCGACTTCTACTAAGTCATTATCTTCTAACCAACCTCTGTAATTTGCCATAAATTCTCTCCATATATGTGGGTCTAGAGTGCCCTCTGAGGGCATGCCAGCTTTCTTAAGTAACCTCTTAACATTCTTAATTGCTCCTTGTCCTTTGTGATGCTTGACAATAGTCAAAGCCATAAATCCCCCTTGGGTACTTTCAGAGCTACCCATCTTAAAACTTGTAAGGGTTAATTACTTCCTTACACAAGACAAACTGTACAAAAACAGTGTATTTGACACTTAGGACCGCTGCAGTGGAATTTTCCCAGTTTTGTCTTCTAAACACAGATCAGGAGATCTGCCCTTGGAGGATTCTAACTCAAATTATAAAACAAATGACAAGGCAAACAATAAAAATAGCTTACAATCCACAGTTATATTACACTATCTCAAGATTCCTTTCACAAGACATAACACAACCTCCACCTGAATATAACCATAATACCACAGAAAACAAGTTCTTTAGATCAGACGTTTTTAAGTCGTTCTTTACCCAGACAGACTAGTAGGACGTGGATCTGAGAGCGAAATTGATAAAGGTAGAAAAAAAGTTTTTCTTACCTTGCTGCAGCTGATTTCACTGTCAGAGGGACGTCCACCTGTACGCTAGTGTCCGAGTGTCTCGACCGTCAGATCCCGGGTTTCGGCACCAAATTGTTGTGGATCAGAAATGTTGATCTTTGTTATATTCAGAGGAAGCCCAAATTGTTGTTACAAGTGCACTTGGAGAAGACACCAGACACCAGACACCTGTTGGTATTCAAAATAAGCCTCTGACGTTTTATTCATCAGCTGGGTTTTATACATTAAAAAGTAAGTGCT